GCCGCGGCACCGCCCCGGCACGCCGGGGGGTTCCATAACTACGTCCCCCCGGGGCGAGGATTGAGCCCCGGTGCTTCCCCGGGCAGATGAGAGGGACGCGGTGCAGAAGAAGACCTTCACCAAGTGGGTGAACGCCCACCTGGCCCGCGTCTCCTGCCGCATCGGCGACCTCTACGCCGATCTCCGCGACGGTTACGTCCTCACCCGCCTCCTCGAGGTGCTCTCCGGGGAGCCGCTGGTGAGAGCCGGGACCTCCCCGGCACCACCGGGTCCCATCTGCCATGGGTTGGGTTGAGCTTGGACATCACCACCATCCAGGTCCCATCTACAACCAGTTTGGTTGAGCTGGGACCACTCCATCATCATCACCACAACCAAGGTCCCATCTACCATGGGTTGGGTTGAGTTGGGACCTCCCCGTCATCACCACCACCCCCAGGTCCCATCTACCATGGGTTGGGTTGAGCTTGGACAACACCACCACCACCCAGGTCCCATTTACCACCAGTTTGAGTTGAGCTGGGACCTCCCCGTCACCGCCAACACCATCCAGGTCTCATCTACCATGGGCTGGGTTGAGCTTGGACATCCCCATCATCACTGGCACCCCCAGGTCCCATCTACCATGGGTTTGGTTGAGCTTGGACATCACCACCACCACCCAGGTCCCATCTACCACCAGTTTGGGTTGAGCTAGGACCACTCCATCATCATCACCACAACCCAGGTCCCATCTACCACCAGTCTGGTTGAACTGTGACCTCCCCATCATCACCACCATCCCCAGGTCTCACCTGCCGTTGGTCTGGGTTGAGTTGGGACCTCCCCATCACCACGACCACGACTCAGGTCCCATCTACAACCAGTTTGGTTGAGCTTGGACCTCCCTGTCACCATCATCACCACTCAGGTCCCACCTACCATGGGGCTGGGTTGAGCTTGGACCTCTCCATCACCATGACCACCACCCAGATCCCATCTAACCATGAAGTTGGGTTATGCTGGGACATCCCCATCACCATCACCACCACCTAGGTCCCATCTACCACCAGTTTGGTTGAGCTGGGACCTTCCCATCACCATGACCACCACCCAGGTCTCACCTACCATGAGGTTGGGTTGAGTTTGGGCATCACCACCACCTCATCTGGGTCCCATCTACCCCGGGGTTGGGTTGAGTTGGGTGGGAGGACCTTCTCCAAGGTGGGGGTGTCTCCGGCAGCCCAAACCGACGCGGGGCCGGATGCGGATCCACTCCCTGGAGAACGTGGACAAGGCCCTGCAGTTCCTCAAGGAGCAACGGGTCCACCTGGAGAACGTCGGCTCCCACGACATCGTGGACGGCAACCACCGCCTCACCCTCGGCCTCGTCTGGACCATCATCCTCCGCTTCCAGGTGCTGCCCGGGGGTCCCGGCATCTGCCACGGGGGTCTT